CTATTGGTTGAGCAGTAGCCAATTGAATTCAAGTGTCAATAGAAAAGGTTTGCCCGGCTAATTTTTATATCCAGATATTCTAGGATGACTGATTTGTCTCATTCACTTTTTGAAGTACACATAACTCTCGGATATAAATTCGAGGTTTCCACATTTATTTCATCTATTGTTGTTATTTCAATTGAATGAAGATCGAACATCTTTTGCCATTTTATATTTGTTAGCTCAGCTTATATTTTGAGGAAAGAATTAGAATAAACAACAATCAACTCTATATTGTGTTAACAGATAAGTTTCATATACTTAAGATGGGCCGAAAATTTTTGAGGGGCTGAGCCCCCTAGCCCAAAATCCTGGCTACGCCACTGGTATAAGTACGAGAAAATATATTTGCAGAAATTCATTAAAGAGACTAAATCTAAATATTTCAAAAGTAATTTTCGAAATCGAATTAAGATAGCTTGAATTATTAGTTTCAGATCTTTTTTTAACATAAAGAAAAAAATAGCAAATGAAAAAAAAAATGATAATGTTTTACAAATACAAATATCATTTGACAATTATGACTATAAAATATATATTAATAGATGAACTTGTGTTTCATAATTACAATTATTTAGTTTAAATGTTCGTCGATATCAATTATTTTATCCGACATATTCAACAAATCACGTCCTCCATGTTCATCGTCTTCACAGTTTAAGAATTTTTCTGTCTTTGCAAAGATTGGACGTTGGTAATGTAAATAATCAGCAATTTCATTAATACTTTTATTGGCAGGAGGAAAATACTTTTCACTTGATTTAATTTTATCGATGAAGATCATACTGTCATTTACTTGTATTGTACAGAAATTCCTTAGAAAATGTTGTCCAAGTAGGCAATATTCACGTTTTTTAGTATTTCTTATTAAGGAAAACTTTTTTTCAAATTCATTAAAATAACTTACTATATTTTGTAATGTTTCTTTATCTGTATCCGAAAAAGGAATTTCATTTGTTTCAATTAAAACTATTATCGAGTCTTTATTTAACGAGAAACGAATGTATGGTAATTGAAATTGTAATTCTTTAATGTCAATATGTAAAGAACATTGTATTGTACAAACTGATACACCATTTAATTCTTTAGGTTTAATATGTAATGTAGTATCCGCTAATACACCAACCAGAGATGGGCAAGCCGCGGTTTCACACCGCACCGCCCCGCCCCGTCCCGCCCCGCCGGCGGGGCGGTGACGGTTTTATTGTTGAATAGGCGGGACGGTGACGGTGCGAAACTTTATCAACGGGACGGGACGGGACGGGACGGTGGCGGTGTGACTTTTTGGCTGGCTCGCCCATCTCTGGCACCAACACCATATGCTGTTCCAATTGACCATTGGTATTTATCAAATGGAAAATTTTTTAATAAAATATTAATATCGAACGTATTATTTAGTGTCATTGGTAATGGAAACAAAGAAGAATTAGAACCACTATCGATCATAACATATTCCATTTGAATACCACCAAATATGTTATTATTACTTGGTATAAGAAAACGTTCACGAAAATTCTTAATAGTAAAACCTTCAATATTATTATTTATTAAATATGTTTTTAATCTAAGTTTAGCACCACTAATCGATGTATCAATAGAATTCATTCTGTTTACTTGAAAATACAATAGTAGTGTTCTGAAACACAAAAAAAAAGAACATCAGACAACATAAGCGCACATTTATAAATAAGATATTGTATTAATTAGTTTAATTGTATGTCTCTGCCTGTTATGTTTCGAAAACATAGAAATATGACAACGGGGAAAATTCATTATTACATGAACAGCCAATCAACATATGAAGTGTGAAGTTTACACATTAATGCATTTATATACAATGTAATGTATAAGGATGGTTCCATGGTACTTGTGACACGTTTACACTGACTTTCACCAAATCGTTTGAAACTTTCAGGGCTTGTGCAATAATCATTTC